GGGAGGGGGAGGGGGGAGGGCTTCTTAGAAGCACCCCTGCTTCTGAAGCAGCCTCCTTCTAAGAAGCCCTCCCCCCTCCTCCTCCCGCCTTGTGCGCGCCGCCAAGTTGCTGCGGGGCCAGCAGGCGACCTCAAGCCACACCGAGGACACACCCTGGGGGATGTCTTGCGCACGCCCAGGATTGCGAGCACCAAACACCTACAGCGAGCGGCCTGAATAAGGAACACTCACTCGTCAAAAGGGGCTCGGTCGTTCCTCAGGTTCGCACGACTTGTGTATCGTTCCCTGTGCGTTATTCCTGGGACAGAAAGGGCTTCGTTCCTTAAATTATCGTTCCTTAGGTCAGGCCGATGACTGTACTGGTTGCGGTCCATAGGGCGTCCCGGGGCAGCCAAGCCGGCCACGACCACAACCAGAGGGCTCACGCCAGGGTCGGCGGGTGCTCCCCCCCGAGGGGCCTCCCCGAAACGTCCGCCCGGTTGCGACTGCGGTTGTCACCACCCACTAAACCACCCCAAGCCAACCCGAAGGCCCCAATTTATCCTCGATTTCCAGTGGGGGGGGTCGTGGAACATCGAAAAAACACGTGTGGAACCCTTACCCCCCCCCCCAACCCGAAATTCGGGTCTTCGGGTTGGGTTGGGGTGGTCTGGGAGGTAGTCAGGTTGCGGTGGCCTCGAGGTGGACACCAACGCTCATGCCGGCGGTGTGCCTTCACCGAGGGAAGGTGCTCCCGATCTCGAGGACGGTGGTAGGAAATTCGGGCTTCGTGGGTGGCCGAGAGATTGCCACCGACACCGAAGGTGCAGGATCCATCTTTCCCTGGTGGGGGCAAAACCCTTTGCGCTGGTGTCCCAGGACCCCGACGTAACGTGAAGATTGATTATTTCCTAACGTCGGCCCCCAGAGGTCTGGACCCCTTTTCCTGGGACCGGTGTTTCATCCCGCGTCGTTGTTTGACGGTCCCGAGGCCCGGTAAGGCCCCCAGAGGCAGAACAGAAGGAAAAACTTCGCGTCATGATTTTTGTCAGGACTCGAGAAGGTCTGGGGCTGCTGCCCATTACCAGGCCTCCAGTGGTTCTCTGTGGTGCCCGGAGTGGTGTCGGCCGGGCCCTCCTCCTAGGGCCTACATGCAGGCCACCCGCGGGGGCGCGATTGCGGAGAGGAGATCGCGCCCCGCGCGGCTCGCGGTCTGGGCTCGGAGAGAGCTTCGGCCACGCCCGCGCGCAGAGGGGGGCAGGGGGAGGGGGGAGGGGGAGGAGGAGGAGGAGGAGGAGGAGGAGGAGGAGGAGGAGGAGGAGGAGGAGGAGGAGGAGGAGGAGGAGGAGGAGGCAAGAGGAGGAGGAGGAGGAGGAGGAGGAGGAGGAGGAGGAGGAGGAGGAGGACTGGATCTTTGGGCGCCCACGGCCCTGACAGTCTGGGTTCCGAGCGGGCCCGGGTCCGGCTCTCTACCAACTGTCCTCGTCGATCAGGAGCCCCCCGTGGCGGCAACCGCGGGGGGGGCATTGAAACAGGCCTAGGATCGGAATAAATCGCTCCAGAGCTTTCCGGAGCGCTCTCAGAGCGTTCCGGAACGCTCACCCAAGGGAGCGGCGATCCTCCAAACCCGCCGATTCTCAGAGATTTCGAGTTATCCCGATCTGATTTTGTCCGATCTTCGCGTCGTTTTAGAGGGGGGGAGGCATCTTAGAAGCACCCCTGCTTCTCAGGAGGCGCGGGCCTTGCCTGTCGGTGTACGTAAGGCCCGCGCCTTCTAAGAAACAGTTTCCCTCGAAGAAGCCTTCCCGCCTCCCCCCCACCCCCTTGTGCGCGCCGTCAAGAGCTGCCCTGATCTCCAACAGGGGTGGCGCGTTGGGGGATTTCGGGGGCGCGGAGATGCAGTCGAGACCGGACAGTAGAGTCCGAGGCGGGCATTTATCCATAACCACCGCTTGAGGGATCGAGCTTCTGGGACCTCCGTGCGGCGGGAAGGAGAGGGCGGAAGCTGAGAAAGAGAAGGCATCTGAGAAAGGCGGCCGGGACTTCTTAGACAAGTTCTACGCGCCATTGCGAAGTGTCCTCCTGCAAGTCGTCTTCGGGGAAGGCTTAGGAAACTTCTCAGAAGGGTCGCCGGATTTCCGAGCCTTTGAGACGGCCTTCTCCCTCTCGATTCCCCTTCGCTCGCCGACGATCATAGGCGGCGGATATGGATACAGTCGGACCCCCGCGGGCCAAGACATGTACATATCCATCGCCCACTGGTTCGCCGGGACGTCGGTCCCCAGGCGGTGGCTATGGACAAACCCCCGCCTCGCAAGCAAGGCTGGATCAGCTTCCCAAGGGTACCCTTGCATCCTCGCCTCCTCGGTCCGCCCCTGACCACCTTCGACGGCCAGCCCCTCTCGAAATGCTGCGAGATGCGCGCCCGAGGGGCCTGCACCCTTCTCGCGCATCCTTACTATCAGCTTCGACGGAAGCCGCGCGTCGCGCATCGCGGGGCGCGGCGCGCGAGGTTAGGTGCAGGAGCGTTGGCTTGGCGTGTCGCTCCGCCGGTTCTGACCCACCACGCCTGGGCGCGGCACGTTGTCCGCGCCCCCACTCCCAGGCGCCAACGTCTCGAGCCTTGCCCAGCCTCGCACCCCGCCGAGCGGAGCGGCACGCCATCCGTTTGCAGGGGATGCCCAGGAGGCTGCAGCCCCTGGAGGAGTCCTTCTCTAACGAGGGCGGCGGCGATATCCAAGGTCATCCACGAGTGGAGTTCCACTGGCTTCCAGGCCCTGGGTTCGTGATCCACGGTTCCATATCCGATGCCTTCACCGTCTCGTGCCGCCGGGGCCGCCGCCGACACGCTGAGCACAAGTTCCCAACCGTGGGTGCTCAGACCTTGCAGTCGCGGGCGTGGGCGACCAGACGCCGAGGCCAACAGCCCGCGCCCACCAGGGGTGAAGGCCTGGCGCTGCAGGCCACCGGCATGCAGCCGACCTACGTCCCCAACCCGACGCACAAGGAGACGAAGAGGAACCGGAAGGTGAAGGTCATGGCGCGGATGCCATGCCAGTGGTTCTCCGTGGGGGGGGGGGGAAGTAGATGCCGATACCCGCCGCCGTCCTGGGGAGTCCCCCTAACAGCTGGATTGCCATACAAATTCTGGTCGGACTGCACCCCGGGAGACGTCAGTGGAGTAGCGGGATTTGTACCTTTCGGTTCCCCCAGGTTTTCTACGGCTGAGATAATGCGCCGCATCGTCACGGTGCTCATCCACAACAACGAGGAGAAGTTCCGGGACGCGCCCATGAGGACCAAGGACCTCATGAAGGAGATAGGCCTCACCGGTTACCAGATGAAGATCAAGCGATACGTTAACGAAGCGTTGTATTTGCTTCTGGGGCAGAAGGTGATCTTCAAGGCGAAGACTAGCCCCATCAGGTGGGAGCTCCACGAGGAGTATAGGAAGGATGGACTGCCGCCCATCAGCAAGAACAAGCGCAAGCCTTGGGCGCTGAGCTGGCTGCTGCAGTTTGAGCGCACGAAGAAGCCCAAGTACGGCCCCGTCCATGGCGAGTACAGGAACCGCCCGTGGGTTCCCTTCGCGAAGAGGGGAGAGCAATGGGAGTGCCAGAACTGCGGGTTCATTGAACAGGGAAAACTTCCCACGTGTACCAAGTGCAGGATCGGGCAGACCCCGCACATCACTCAAGAAATGATTGAGACCATGGAGATCTGAGGGCCAGCTCGCCCAGATGCCCTGGGCAAATGCTGGCGCCATCGCCTCTGGCGGCCCCGCTGCCTGCGGTCACCTGCCCATCGGTGCCTTCTCCTGCCACGTCCTCGTTCCCAAGCCGCTTGTAGGCCGGTGGGGCTTCCTGAGCTCCTTTTTCGCAGGAGTCTCGAGAGAGGAGTGACTAAAACGCACATCTCGTCATGGATGAGTGGGGCGTCTCCTGCCCTCTTCTTTCTCCCCCTCTCTCCGCGAGCACTTTCGCTGTCTTTCCCTATGCCTGCTTGCTTGGTTGCCAGTCAGGCAGACCAAGCTCCGTGGTGGCCTCGCCCGTCTTAGGGGCAGCGGCCAGACAGTCCATACTCATATTGGTGTTGACTAGTGGTAAAGTCGGGCGCGTCCCTCTACAGGGGGAAAATCCAAGAGCAGTCCAAAACTAGTCAGGAGACGATATTTCGATTATTTTTGCATATATGTTCGAATATTTTCATTTCTCGTCTAGCCTCTGGCGGCCCCGCTGCCTCCTTTACTTGCCGCTCGGTGCCTTCTCTTGCCCGATCCTCTTGCCTGAGTTGCTTGCGGAAATCGGACCCCTCCGCGTCGTGAAACAAATCGCGCGACAGCCATTTCTGACCAACCAGTTTCCGCCCTTGGGGGCCCTTACTGGGCCCAAGGACCGTCAGTCATAGCCAGAGCCCGCATCCCCGAACAGCGCTTTCGAGCGAAGCTGGCCCCAAATACTGCTCGCGCGTCGTCTGAATCGTCGTCTTCATCCTGCTCCTGATCGGCTTATTCTCCTGTCGTCATCATTGCCGTCGTCGTCGTCGGCGCTGATGTCGTCTTCCTCCTCCACGTCTTCCTCTTTCTCGCTCCTTCCCCTCCCACTCCTCCTCCGACGCACTCCTTCTCCACTTCTCCCGCTTCACCCCCTCCTCCTATTCATCGTTAGTATTATTACTATTATTAGTATTATTATTACTATTATTATTATTATTATTATTAGTATTATTAGTATTCGTATTCGTATTCGTATTAGTATCAGTATTAGTATTAGTATTAGTATTAGTATTCGTATTATCATTAGCATTATTATGATTCGTCCTCTGTCTCCTCTTTATCCTCCTCCTCCATCTCTGGGCACGCTCGACCTCCTGCTTCTCCACCTCCTCCTCCTCCTTCATATCCTGCTCATGCTCCTGATACTGTTAACCCTCCTGGTTCTCATCGCCCCTCTTCGTCCTACTGGTTCTCCTCCTCACCCTCCTATTGCTTCCTCCTGTCGCTGGAGATCGCCTCACATGTACTCAGGCATGGCCTTCTCGCTGGATGCATGAGACTTCCTTACAGATGACCTGGTAATCCTGCTCTCGCTTCGGCGCCAGCCATCCACATGTTCTGCCAGGGGCGCACTCGCCGCGCCCAGGGCACCATGCGATACCACAAGCGTGATCAGCTTCGTGGACCCGTCCCCGCCTCCTCCTTCCCTCTTCTCTCTTCTCTCTCGCCTCCCTCCCCCCTCCTCCCGACCTCGCCCCGCCCCCCTCTTCCCCAACCTCCCTCCTCTCTCCTCCCCCCTCACCACCCTCCAGCTGGAGAGTTCCGCACTTCTCCTGAGCTCGGGCACGGCGATCCCGCCTGAGGCTCCCGCCCGCGGGAGTTTTCTCCACAGACGACCCTGGAATCCTGCTCTCGCCTCGGCGCTGGGTCATTGCTCGCTTATATTGACACTGTCGGACCCCCTGCTGGAGCACAGCTCGACAGCAGACCTGTCATCGAACAGATCGTTCGGGCCAGGCCCCTCCTGCCTGCCTCGTCCTCCCTCTCGAGGCTGTGCCGCCTTGGTCTTTGCCCGCGCAACAAAGCCCTTGCACTGGAGCGGCGGCCATGGTCAACACGGGGTCACACCAGCCCAGTTCGGGTTCCCGAGGGCTCTCCCCGAGGGCTGCCAAGGTGGGTGACACAACATGCCCGCCAACACGGGTGTGTGATTGTCGCAAGTTGGCAACGCCACACATTGATGCGGCCATGTCTCAGGCGAAACGGGGCAGACCACCTCTCCCGCGGCATCTGGGAGCCCAGAGTTGCGAGAATGTCTCAGGCGAAACAGGCCAGACCAACCCTCGTGCGGCATCAAGGAGCCCTCAGAGTTGCGAGGGTGTCTCAGGCGAAACGGGATCGACCACCTCTCGCGCGGCATCTCGGAGCCCTTAGCTGCAGGCATTTCTCAGGCGAAACGGGCTGGACCACCTCGCGCGCGGCATCTCGGAGCCCAAAGTTTCGAGGATGTCTCAGGCGGAGCGGGCTGGACCACCTCAGATCTGGCGGGTCCGTCGCTTGGATCCCTTGCGGCAGTAGTCGCGAAGGCCGTTCGGGCCAGGCCTCTTTTGCCTCCTCCCTTTTTTTCGGAGCCCAGCGTTGCGAGGATGTTTGGGACGAATCAGGCTGGGCCAGCTCCATCCTAGCCATCTCAGTGCTGAGAGTTCTGAGGATGTCTCGGGCAAACCGGGCCGGGCGTCGGGCTTCCTCTCGCGCGGCCACCTTGGAGCCCAGGAATGTCAGGATGTGTTTCCAGAAAGTGCTGGGATACAGTCAAGCCGCATAACAAGGAAGGTCATTTGACCCAAGGGTAACTACCCTTGCATCCTTGCCTCCTCGGTCCATCCTTGGCCACTTTCGCTGGCCGCGCCCCGCTCGAAAAGCTTTGAAGCGGCCTTTCAAGGCCCTTGCATCCTTTATCGTACATCTTGCTGGTACGGGCCGACTGTACCTCTCGTGCGGCATTTGAGAGCCAAGAGTTGCCAGGGTGTATCGGGCGAAATTGGCAGGCATACCTCGCGTGCCGCAGCTCGGAGCCCAGACCTGCGAGGAAGTCTTAGGCGAGACTGGCTGGACCACCTCGCGCGCGACATCTGGGAGCCCAGAGGTACGAGGATGTCTCAGGAGAAACTGGCCAGACCACCTCGCGCGCAGCATCTCGAAGCCCAGATTTGCGAGGATGTCTCAGGGGAAACAGGCCAGACCACTTCAATTCCGGCCAGTGTCGGAGCCCAGAATTGCGAGGATGTCTCAGGCGAAACGGGCCAGACCACTTCGCGCGCGGCAGTATGGAGCCCAGAGCTGCGCGGATGCCTCAGGTGAAACGTACCAGATCACCTATCGCGCGGCATCTTGGAGCCCAGAGTTACCAGGATGTCTCAAGCGAAACGAGCTGAACCACCTCGCGCGCGGCATCTCGGAGCCCAAAGTTTCGAGAACGTCTCAGGCGAAATGGGCCCGACCGCGTCAATGCTGGGCGTCTCGGTGCCCAGAGTTGTGAGGATGTCCCAGTCGAAATTGGTCGGACCATCTCGCGCGCGGCATTTCGGAGCCTAGAGTTGCGAGGACATCTCAAGCGAAACGGCCCAATCCTGGACATGGAGGAAGCGAGAGTTGTGAGGATTACTCGGGCGAAATGGGCCAGACTATTTAAGAATTTTGAGGATGTCCGTGTGCGGGGCTCTCTCTGGCCTACTTCACAAATCAGTCATCACAGCTGCTTGAGGAAAAGCAGCTCGGAATTAACACCCGTCTCAGGGAAAGGACGTGAATTTCTGAGGATCCACGTAGCGAAACAGTACGGCGACGGGGGTCTGGGATTAGATACCAGCCGGCCGCTCTGCGATTGATGAGAGTTTCTGTACAGATGAAAGAGCATGCGCTTGTGGGCGAGACGTGAATGAGCGTGAAGCGATTGTGCGGAGGGTGAGGATGAGGAGGGTAAGGGTCAGGAGGGAGAGGCACGCGAGTGGGGGGATCAGGAAAGTGAGGGTCACGCGGGTGAGGGTCAGGCGAGCGTGGAGCAGGAAGGTGAGGATGTGGAGAATGAGGGGCAGGAGGTCGATGATGAGGAGAATGAAAATCAGCGGGGTGAGGATCGGGCGAGTGTGGAGCAGGAAAAGGAGGATCAGCGGGGTGAGGATCGGCAGGGTGAGCATCACGAGGAGAGCGAGTATCAGGATAGTGAGAATGAGCATGAGGAGGGAGAGGACCAGGATCGTGAGGCAGCAGGGTGAGGGTGAGGAGAGCGAGAATCAGGAGAGTGAAGATCATTGGGGTGAGGACCAAGAGGGTGAGGGCCAGGAGGGTGAGGATCAGGAGGGTGGGGATCAGGAGGGCGGGATGAGGGCGGTGAGGCCCAGGAGGGTGGGGAAGGGGACATCGAGGATCAAGACGTCGATGACAACGAGGACCAAACGCTCGCGTACGACGACTGCGGGACAGAAGGTGGAGAAGTTGGCAGGGGAAATGGCGACGACAAGGGCGATGGTGACGACGAGGGCGACGCCGACGACGACGATGGTGACGACTGTGAACACGAGGGCGAGGACGAGCTCGAGGACGAGGACGAGGTTGAGGACGACGACGATTCCGACGACGACGACGACAACGACAACGACAACGATGAAGATTGTGACGACCATGACGACGCGGGCGCGTCATGCTGTGACCGATGCGTTTTCAGAAGCTCGCCCCTTGTAGCCGACAACTTCCAAAGATGCACCTGGCGGCGCGCCTGGCGCATCCCCAGAAGTGATCTCCTGGGGGCGAGCCGGGGGCCCGCGGGGGCGACTTTTGCGAGGGTGTCTCGAGCGAGAGCGCCAGATGGGGACACGCCCGGCGCGCCCGGCGCATCCGCGGAGATGGTCCCGTGCACATGGGCGCGCCGGGGGCCCGTGCGGCGAGTTTGGCGAGGAGGTCTCGAGCGAGACCGCGGGATGGGGGCACCGCGAGAGGGGCCCGGGAGGTGCGCTGGGAGGCGACTCTCTCGCGCGCTGGAGGTCGGGATGGCGCGAGTGCCACAGGAGCTCCCTGAGAGTCAAGCTCTCCGGTGTTGGCAAGACAGGTTGGTGTTGTTGCTTCTGGAGGGCCTGTTTGGTTGTTGATTTCTCGACCTGCCCCGTGGGGGGACCGACGCGCTACTGGGCGATCTCCGTTGCCACAGCCTCGTGCTCGCTGCCGTGTTCCCTTTCCGTGATTGTGCCTCTTCCGTGTCTCCTGATCTCCTCCTGGCTCTTGCTTCCCTCTCTTGCCCCCTCCATCTGTCAGTACCGCCTCCTTTCTTTCTCTTCCCCTGCCTGTATCCCAGGTCCCTCTTACTTCTTACTCGATCCCTCAATGTAGAGTTTGTTCCCCAAAATAACTATTCATCCCATGTTTGTTTGTCTCCTGTTTCTTGCTTGTTGCCTCATGCCTCCTCACAACTCCCTCACTATTAAGCTGTATGCGGCAAGCCCTGCCATCGCGCCTGTGAAAATGCTGAGCAGAAAGGGCGGCCTCTCAGAGCAGTTAGGGGGGCATGTGGTGGTCTGTTGGGGGGCCTCGTAGGGCCTCTC